TTAATGATAGGACCTAATGCAGAGTCCACTTCATTCAAACGTGTTTTTTTTTTCATTAATGTCATTGGACTTTGCATCAGCATTTGTAAAACTAAAATATATACACAATATGTACCTCATGCAAACAAAAACTAACACAAACCTGTTCTGCTCCCAGTTCTTTAAGTCAAATGGTACTCTGTTTAAATGTCCATCCAGAAAGAGTTAGTGAATAAACTATAAATGGTAAGTGCCACCAAGAAAATGGCTTCCAATTCTTCATTCTGCGTACATCCCATGAGCTTTGGATATATGAAAAATGCCATTTGCAGATTTTCAATTGAGAAATCAAAGCTGCAAAACCTGAAGAACTAAATGTCTAAGGGGCCAGTCTAATGCCACTGAAATCTCAGAAAAAGGATCAGGCTTAAAAAAAAATTAAACATATTTTAAAATACAGCAATCTATATCATCATATTTGACTCCAATGATGAGGATTAAAACTGATTTGTTTAAAGAATACGCTTTGCATCTAATGAATATGCTATAGAGCAATAAGCAAGTGCACACATACAAGTAAGACCTAGGAACCCAGTGTGTTTCACACTGAAGTCAGTAATAAATTCCCACATAAATTCCATATCCTAAAATTAGAAAATGTTAATAGAAGTATGCTAATAGAATGTTAAAATTATAATAGAAATAAGGCCAAACCCTGCTCCCACTGAAGTTTCAAAGTAGCCAAACTTCCATTAATTTTAATAAGAAATTGGCCATATTTAATATAATTCTTAGCAATTGAGAGGGTTGTGAATGTATTTGTTAAGGAAAGACACATAATTTGATTGAAATACATTGTAGAATATATTACAGGCAAATCAGAAGAAGAACATATGACCTTCATTACATTGATTCATATAATATTATACATTTTTTAGTGTAAATTAGTCAATATAATGCTTACATCCATTTGTTTGTGTACATGATTTTAAAAACAGTAGAAAGAAAACACCTTGTTCATTTTCTAACGCTTTACAGAAAGATCATACAAAACCAAATATAAGGAAAATTGGTAAAAGTAATGGGCACATCAAAGATTTTGTAGATGATAAAACCACTGGGTAAGGTTAGAAAAGCTCTTACATGATTTTAAATAGATAAACCTGCTCTTGTGATGTCTCCAAATTACTGCCACAAAATATAGGATAATGTCAGATCACTGTGGAATACAGGGAAACGGTATCCAGAATGTGAAATTATCCCCTGCTATAAGGGACAGTTTAATGGTCTGAATGAAAAAACACAATCCACATTTCTAATAACAGTGCAGAAAACACAAGGGATATTCAGAAATGCTAAAAAGCAAACAGACTAGAGCAATATATAACAATCTACCAGTTACTGTGCAGTCTATTGTAAGTTTTATCTAAGGGGTAGAAGAGGAGGGAAAAAAGCTTAAACAAGGCCTATTAGCAATAAATAGTTCTGCCAATATCCCTCACAGTAGGGGAACTCCTCCAGCAATTTTCACGATTAATTACCAGTGGCAAGCGTATTCATAATCTGGTGTTAATTTTGCAGTGTCTGAATGAACTCAGCTCTGGCACACTCAGTTATTGTTTCCCTGCTACTAGTAGGATGAACTACTTGTTCAGGTCATGCTGTGTCAAAAGAGTGCTAATGTGTTTATATAAACACTACAAGCCGCACCTGCTTTAAACACACTTTTTATTATTTTTTCCATGGCCAGTTAGAGCATATAAAACCCTTTGGTGCAGGAATGCAAAGAGGGAAAATATGCTACGGCTTGGATTTCATAAGGATTTCAAATAAAGTGAGAATATGAAGCTTAGAAGATATGCCTTTAAAAACATACCTAGATTTAAGCCCTTTCCTCTTGCTGCCTTATTTACAAGGTTTGGAGAGAATGGTAGCAGATAATTTGTCAGCTGCTACTGAATACCTTGAGGTTTTCATTGAGAACATCACGTACTACCAGGACAATGAAATGCACAGAAAGGATGGCCAGAAATGAGAGCTATTGAACATTTCCTTCGTTTTCTGGTTTATGTCACCTTCCTTGTTTATTGTTTTTTTATGTCAACCTATGTCTTTATAACATTTTTATTTGTAATACAATTTTTCACTTCATCTGAACTGGCTGAAAAGAAGTTATGCACACATACTTAATAGTATGAAATATACAATGGCTGCCATATAAGTAGTGGTCCTGATTGGTTAATGAGGATTCTCAGATGTGTAATTATGAGACCACATCTGCACAAGTCAGACTCCTTTACCTAGGACATTCAAACAACTATGATTTTATAAAAGCAATAATATACTGTAGCATGTGTATTGTCAACCTCATACTTCTACTATGTATAATGCTTAGCTAAATGACACCATAACAGCACACCAGGCCCTGTGTTCACTGAAAAGATTTATAAATACAAATTAACAAAAAGTATGATCCTCACATTTATTATGGCAAGTATAAAATGAAATATATATATGTTCTAGTCTTGATGAATATGAATTAATCTAATTAATGAAGTCATGAAAAAGTTCAAATACCTAAATATAACATATATCAGAATTTAAATGACAAAATGAAATTGTTAGAAAAATGTTAGTAGAAAAAGGCAGTGATTTAAAACAAACAAAATAAAGAGCAAAAAACCTGTTTAAAAAATTCCATTCTATGGGCTAAACTATATGCAAGATGCATTTTTACTTAGTATTTGATTTCCCATTACAGCCTATATGTACTAACTCTTTAAAAGCTTTTCAGTCAGCCAGGTCTATAGGAACAGATTAAAACTAATTTAAATATTTACGTGGGAGTTAAAAATGTGATAAACCAGAGTTTTAGCACAAAAATGACTTTAAAAAGATAAGGCGTTTACAGCAAATCCCACAGTTGTCTGGTTAGGTTAATATTAATTAGCACAATGGTAATAAGCCCAAGGAGCTTATTGAAATTAGTGTGTTGTTCGTATGAAGAAGATAAAAAGATACAATCAAGTCTTCTATGGCTTAAAGCCAACTCTAGGATGTTCCCACCAAAGCTGAAATCACAGGTGGAACATTAGCTCTGTTTTTAAAAGGACCCAACTAATGTTTAAGGCTGGGACAGCCAGTGTGACATGAAAGAGTGCAAAACACTTTAAGTTAAGTTGATCATTCAGTGTGCCTGTGGCACCAGACGCTATGTACTGGAGCTCCTCATATCCTTGAACACTGTTAAACCCCCTTACAAAGGTTTTAAAATGAGATTTCAGGAAAAGTAAGGGAAGGGCTAGATTGTTCAGGTATTTTGCACATTCTCACAGCGCATATAACAAAGTGCAAGCTCCATCTACTAGTACTATATAGTACTGTATTAATTGCCATGAGCTGATGGCCCAGGCAGCTTGCTTTTTGGTGACTTTCAAAAGTGTCTGATAATTTGGGGTGCCTCAGTTTTCAGACGTGCAGGACTTTAGTCAAATCCTTTAAAGAGTTTCAAATTGAGCACTGAGAACAGAAATGTCCAAATAGTCCATTAAATCTCCAACAGTTAGTTCTTGAGGCTTCCAGTTTAAATAAACCTCTTTTATGTGGCGTCTATTCCTCAGAATATGGCACTTGGACCTTCAGCTTTCTCCTCTCAGCATCCTTAACCAGTTAGGCTATGTAAAATATTTGAGCAAAAGTGGGGAAATCTATTTGAGTCTATTAAGTATCTAAATGTGAGCAGTTCTTTTCGGGCACAGAATCATAAAATCATAAAATCCTATCAAAGTTAATAGGGGTTTTTCTATTAGTCTCAAAGGGGAAAGAATTTCCCCCCATATATTTCAGATTATGTTTTCATTCAGATTATCCATTTACTGTTTTCAGTTAAGGCACCAATGTGCATAGAGATGTGTAGGAAAATCCTTCCATTGTGAAGTTTCTATCTATGGGTTTCCTACTGGTTGGTGTTCCAGACCTCACCAAAACCGCAATGCACAGTGGAAGACAGCATTCAATAGTGATAATTTGTTCATCAAATTCTTAGCTCCACACAGGGGAGAAGCCAGTGAGACAGGCTAGCCTTCTCCATTGCACTTCCCCTTACCAAGCCAGTAATGTCCCCTGTAACTTCTCCGAGACTGGGAAAAATAAAAGTGGAGTTGCTGCTTTCCCTCTAAAATCCTTTGTGACATCCAGGTTATACTAATTAATGGATGCATCTACATGTGAAATTAATTTGATGCAATAAACTCCAGTGTGGTCCGTGCCTGAATATATTGCTTCCAGGACCACAACACATTGTGCTGGGATGGCTCAGCCCTGGCTGGCAGAGGGTCCAGGATTTCAGCCTGCCAGCCTGGGGCTGCTCTGCCCTGGCTCAACGTGCTGTGGAGGGGCTGGTAGGGGCACAAGCGCGCTCCAGTGTGGGGTTAGCCAGTAGACTGCCTCACGCTGTAGCACCCTCATGGCCTAGCTAGACCTGGTCAACATCTACATATGTATTATGGCAGAGTAAATAACTCCACCGTAGGATAGTACCTGAGTTGTGCAGTACTATCCTACAGCTAATTTAATTAGTTTGCTCCATCCTAATAGCAGCACACATGTTGATGCTGATGCTTTACTGCGGAGGTAATTACCACTACAGTAAATGTCTCATGTATATGTGCCCAATGGGTGGTATGTCGGGCAACACAGCTGGATGGGACATTTGGACCCTTTGAAATTTGATTTAACAAATTATTTGTAAGGTGATTTTTAACTAGGAAACAGAGCAGTACTGACACTATACTTACAGACTTTGGTTCTGCACCTATACTATAGAATAACACAAATGTGTTACTGTGACTCTAACCATGATTCCAATGGTCAGGAACAATAGTTTCGCTTTGTGTTTTTGTGTGTGTGTAGTGGGGAGGAGATCTGGTTGTGTGGAGGGTTAAAGAGCTAGCATATGGAGCCTGAACTAGTGCAAAGTGCAGTTTCAGTTCTTCCCCCCTGCCATGGGGCCCATACTAACCTTCATTGTTGAGAAGAAGCCACCAGCTGGATCAAGATTTGTTGCTATATTAGAAGCAGGAGTCCAGATCTCATTGCTCCAGGCAAAGAATTGTGAACAGCTGCTTCTCTTGAGAAAGGAGATCCACAGCAGTGAATTGTGTTTGTGACCTGTCATTGGGTGCTGATGCAGCCCAACAAAAGGGAAGTTTAAAAGGCAGTTGTTAGGATCCAGAGTGCAAAATACAAAGGGAAAGATAATTAATGATGACTTTTTTCATTAGTAGAAAGAAAATGATTCTTGCAGAAAGCTGTGTGACCTTTACACTTCAGACTGTAAGGGAAGACACAACATTTTGAGATTATGTTAATGCAGTGTGAATGAATGACCTATGAATTAACATGGTCAGACTAACTGAACCAAATCAGATCCAAGCAGTTTAGATTTTGCCTTGCCTTTTGCTAAATTATCTTCAGTAAAATGGCAAATTAACTGCATTTGCCCCATCAAAAGAAGTATTCACAAAATATCAGTGAGGAAACAGGCAGACAGACAAATCAGTAAATAAAACCAAACAGTTTTTGAGGGATACATCAAACATGTCTATAAACTGACCTTGCAATAAGAGGGAGTGAACTTTGTGAGGAGAATGTCCGTGTTTATGAGCTACTGCTTACTATCAAAAGTATTCTTTGTTTTTTCTTCTAAAGTGTTTCAAATACATTACATGTGGAGTTCAGACATATATATGGAGTTCCAGTGAATTGCAACCTGGAAGGTTGTTTTGTGATATATTTACTCACCTAGATAGATTGCACAGGGGGGCCACTAACCTTTAAAATTGGACCCAAAATTGTGGCAAGATTACCTGACAAAAGTAAGTTAAATCAGTGACTGAAGGAATGCGTATCTGGGGTATGGGAATTCCTTAGGGGGTTTATTACATTTTCATCCTCATCCATAACAAAGAAAGTAAAGATTACAAGCTGTTATGGCCAGCAACTCTGCTTCTTAGTATGTTACTTTCTGAGTGCAGAAAAGAAGGTTTGTTCTTCTTCCTATTTTTCCAGCTCAGTCTTAACCCAGGCTCCAATTAGACCAACCTGGGAGCTGTTCTGATTTGCACCAACTATCCAATGTCCCCAAAACCACACACCAGATGGAGATAACTAGACTGCAGCATACTCTGAGATGCCCCTCTCCACCCCTTTCCTAACCATTTGGAATAAGCACAGTGAGAAGGGAGCCAGAGAAGTTGGCTATGGCAGCTGTCTTCCCTCTGGCCATTTCCCTATGGCAGGAGAATTCCAAACAAAGCCACACAAGAAATGTTTTTTTCCTGTTATTTAGCTTAGCCTGCATATGTTTCTTTCCCAGACCTGAAGAAGGGCACTTTGTACCCAAAAGTTTGTCCAGTATTTCTCCCAACTATACAGGTGGTCCAATAAAAGATATTACAAAAAACAAAACAAAACAAACAAAACTTGCTTCTTGTATAATCTGTTTCTACAACTCATTTGAATATTCTCAGTTGTGAGTCATTGCTAGGATTACATTACTTGGACTATGTACTTGGTGACTTTCTCTTTCATAGGTGGGTTTTGAAAATTTATGTGACTATAACGTCTCAAAAATCATAGAATATTACTTTACTTTGGAAATGGCAGCATGAAAGCATAGGCACAGGCATTCAAAAAGCCCAGGGCAGAATCAGCCAGCATTAAAATGGTTTTCTATAAGCAGTGCAGTTTAGATCGGTAGCGAACAGAACACACCTTTGCCCTTTGGTGGGAGTAGGAGGGGCAAATCTTAGACTCAGTTCCACCATTTTTAATCCAGTCTGTATGTGCCAAACTTCTGTTTTCTTATGGGTGTAGACCAGTTTCTGATCACTTATACTGGTAGAAGTGTAACATTTTCTTATGGATATAGATCAGTTTCTGATCACTTATAGTGGTAAAAGTGTAATGTCTCTACCTGGCCAAAATGTTTATTTCTATTTCTGTGAATCTTCTCAACCACACTCTACATTTTCTAGAAATTGGCTGATTAGTAGAACATGAAATTAGAATTTTATGTATTCCTTTATGTGTGTATGTAAAGCTAAAGAAAAATAATATTAAACATGTCCACATGAGAAGCTTCAGGATAGCATTGTTAATGCTACTTGATGGGGCTATGAGAAATGTCACTGGCTGTTTCGTTTTGATGCTGTTTCAATTTGTTTCAAGCTCAAAACAGCGAAATTGAAATGAAATGAAAGCTTTGAAATAGCCTCGAAACAGAATGAGGGCAGTTGAAACGTTTCAAAAGTTTCGAAACATTTCAAATTTTGAAGCTGAAGCTGTGCTTGCCTCCAGGGAAACAGAAAGTAAGGAGAGGGAGAGGGAAGGGGCAGAAGGACTGCTCTGATATTGACTGTGACTGTTGGCTGCTTGAGATGCTGCTGGTGCTACTGTGCTACTTACTAAGTTATTACCTGTTGTCATTTAAAGTGGTGGACTGAACTGAGGCTGCAGGGGAGGAGGAGACCTCATTGAGGCACACTACCGTGTCATGTAGAGGTCCCAGTGCCAATGAGGGTGCACCTTAACATACACACACACACACACACACACACACACACACACTGCCACACGTGTCACAAGTTTTGCTTTTCATCAGCTTGAGGTGCAGTTTCCCAGAAACCCCTGCACCTATCTCCTTGAAACTTGGTAGACTTCATGCCCTGAGAAGGGGCTACCATCTCTGCTGTTTTTATCCAAATCTGTGAAAAAAATGACAAAGTTATATGCAGTTTTGCACTTCCCCATTATAGCCTATGGGTGAAATGTCAAAACTGTCAAAACAGCAAAATGGAACAGTGCTTTTGTAACGAAGTGAAACTCAAAACAAAACTGTCCCGTAGAAATGGTGAAACGGAAATCAAAACAAAATGGTGCTGTTTCACACTGCCCTAGTAGTTGAATTGTAGCATTACATCAGCAGTGCTTCAATCTACTGTTGTGTTTTTCCTGTTTTAGCTTGGATCACATTCATTAATTTTTGGACAGTTTTAAATGAAACCATTCAATTTTATTAATTAAAATTAATTATTTCCCATCAGAAAATGGTGTACATCCTCTGGTTTGTACTCACCAGTGTGTAAACAAGATCTGCTGTTTTTTTTAGAAAATGGCTCTGATGTATAGCAGGGTTCAGTACTCTGTGTTATAGCATCTTGGAGAGTATGTAAGAAGTTAGAATTGTAAGTACTTTTAGTGCTATCTGTCCTCCTTTTTCAGGCCAAAGAGCCTGATGGAAGAAAGAAGAAGTAAACCACTATCCAGTCAGACATGCAGCTTTCTTGTCTGGTTTTCACTGATGTGGCAGACAGCAGAGATGGACGCAACTCCACAGCTAAGTGAAACTCAACAGACGTGAGGATTCATATGGTCTATATGTCCTGGGAAGCCCCATTTTACAGACTGCCCTGGAGAAACTTGCCATAGAAGCTTGGATCAAAATGTCCAGGCTCAAAGTCCCATTTCCAGAGCAAAGAGCGCAGAGGCTCTGAATACTCTGGTACGAGCTGGAGTTTTCACAGCTTCCAGCCTCTCTGCTGTGGATCTGTGACTGATCCCCACTTTATCGCTCCTATATCCCAGACTTCCAGGCTCCCAAGACATAGCCTAGAAGATCTGACTTGGTTTTCAGTTCCAGATTTGCAGACTTTGGAAGCTTTGGATTCTCTCCAGGTTTGTCAGGAAACTCAGCAGGGTTCTATCATAAACTTACTTTGAAGTCACCAAAAAATCATTGAACCTAAAACTATTTTCTCATTTTATACAATCATTGTTTCATGTAAAATACAAATTAGTCTTTAGAACAGGGCCCTAAAGCTTTGTTCCCTCCCTTATCATGAATGCCACTATTCTAAACTGTTGGGCTCACTCTTCTGTTTCCTTTCTAACTCAGTCAACCTTGAATTCTTTTCTGTACAGCAGCACAGTTCTTGTAAGAAGGTTGGAGACAGCCCACCTTCACTCCCATCTACTTTAGCTGTTGCTTGGTAATTAGGACAATCTTCAGGAAGCAAGAAAGTTCAGGTTTGAATCTTCTCAGGTAGAAGAAGGTATCAAACCTGGGTTTCCCATATCTGGGGTAAATGCTTTGGAGTCTAAGTTGGTGTGCAGTAAAATGAGAACCACCATCTTTCCTGCCAGGTTTTAAAAGAAAAGAGTGAGCTCTGCTCAGTTCTTTGAAAGTAAGGCTATTGGTGTCTATCTTCAAGAGTAATCCGAAATGTGGTTTATTTTAAGTTATCTTAAAACTGATGGAAGAATGTTCTTGGCATTTTTGCTGACTGCTCCTGACTTGAGGCAACCTCCTATTCAGCAATCCGGTTGTTTTAAATCCTGTTCTCAAGTCAGCAACCTAAAGGGCTGCAAGCTGAAGTGACCCAGTTTGGATCAGAGGCGGGATGGAGGGTGGGTGGGCAGGCTCTAAGACCTAGCCATTGATGCCACTTATCTCCATTGTTTATATGGAGAAAATACCTGACACTGCTGCTTTTCCCTGCACGGCATGGGGAAGGTGCTGACTGCTGACCTGGGACCACCAAATGCCACTGAAAACACTCACCACCCAATGCTGTTGAAGCCCCATGTCTGGGGGTTGGATCAAAAGACTGCAGGCTAGATTCGGCTCACGGCTTGTAGATTCCCAACCTCTTCTGCTCTCATGGTGCATGACTCTCTTCCTGCCTAGTCGATTAACATTGACAAGTAACATGAAAATTAAGTATCTGAAAGTTAGAAGTCATAGTGTTTTAGGTGCCTGGTACTTTACTGCATTTGGTCCTAAGGCCAAGATATTCAAAAGTATTTAATTGTCTACCTGACCTGAACTTATCTCAATGGGAGTTATGTACTTAAAACCTTTAGAAATCTGGCCCTAAGTGACTTGCATTAAACCATAGAAGATATGTGTCAGGGCACTGAATAGAAAGTCTTGAGTCCAAAGCTAGCACTGCAGCTACTGGATTATATATTCTGTCTTCATGTCCTACCACTCCCACGTGCATATGGGACTGAGCAACAGGTAGCCACCATGTGCAACCAAAGTGCTCAGAGTTGTGGTCTAATAGCAATGTATAGCCTGGAGAGTGCCATACTTCCCTTTACTCTACTATGTGACTATCTTCAAGTTGTCCAAGGGTCCAACCCTATCAGTACAGCTAGATAAAAATCTCTTAACAGGATCACAATGTCTTCACCTAGATTTGAAGACTATCTGAATTCATTCCTGCTAGGGAGAAATTGTTAAATTCACATTTGACTGGACTGTAACAGAATAATCAACACCCCGCCCCACGTACTTTTATCCCCTGGGCAAAGCTGTTGTATGACTCTAACAAGTAGATTCATAGATATGAGGCACATGCACCATGCATTCTATTTCAGTAAAGAATGATTTTGAACATAAAGTTGCAAAATTATTTCTTGCTCATTTTGTGTTAAGTAAAGTATATCTGTGGAGCCTTGTAATATAGGCAGTGTCCTGCCCTCTCAAAGAGCAGGACAACTTTTTTTTGCTGTGTATTGAGGATGTAAACAGACTTTGGGGTTTACTGCTGCAAGTTGTAAATGATGTGTGAAATTAAATACTTCTTTGCAGTACTCTGAGAGAATACAGACAATGCAATCACTGCTGAACCGTACGATAGTTTACTGGAACAGTTACCTCTGACACATTCAACCACCTACCGGAAGCTTCCATAGGAGAAAACTATGTTATATGCAAAACTACTGTTATCCCATACTCACTAAAATATATTTTTAAAAACCTTGTTTGTGATGAATTTCTGAGTTTCTGGACATACTTAACCCCTTCGGGCAATCCCAGATCTTTTCACATTTTCCAGTGGATAGATAGGTAGGTAGATATCAACATGAAATAAAATAAGTTCTGGAAAGACTAGTGAGTCAGAGAGCTCACATGACACAAATAATGGCTTCTGAGGGAGGAGGAGAGTTTATAATGGCTCTCTTTGCTACTGAAAGGCTTATTCACACTGAAAATGTAAATTACATGATCCATCGACGATGGTGGTGAATGGTTTTATTTTAATTCAGGGAGACAGTTAAGCATAGCCAAACTTAGGCCCATTTCTAAACAACCATATTTTAAAAACATGAAAAATGGTAGCATTGTGATCAGTTGCAGTGAACTCTGCTAATAAGCAGAGAGAAAAAGAGTTGAAAGGAAGAATTAAAAGGAAGGCTTACCTGAGAAGCAGTTCAAACTTTCATGTATCTTTTAGGCTGGATGGAGCTGGAAACTGAATGTGCCTTTTATCCTGAAAGTCTGGACTATCACAAGATTTCATGGATTTTTTAAACTTATGGACAGATGAAACTGAGTTTAATCTTAAACATAGGGTGAACATTTGAAACCAGACTTGCTCAGGAGGTTGGAATTGGTGGGGAGAATAGAGAATGCAAGTATGTTTTTTTATTTTGTGGGAGAGAGGTGATATGGAATAAAACAATTGGATGACACAGGACATCATTTAAATCAGATGGCATCACTTTCTAAACATTTTATAGTAGAGTAACCCCACAATACTTCACAGTGCAGATTTTCCCTTCCAGGAAATTCAGCTTTCCTTGGACATTCCAGTTCTCTCCATCCTGGTTTCCATTTAATTCTAATTTGTCCATAAGGTATTGTTTGCTTAGAGTGTCACTTACCTTCTACTGTTTCTTTTCCTGATCCATCCTATTTATGCTAAAAGGTAAGCCTTGAGCTCTTGAGCTTCCTGATTTCTCTTTTGGTATCTGCTGCTGTATGCCTGATGTGACTGAACTGCAAATACAAAGAACGTTTAGATTAATTTTCTATAGTGTGGCAACAGCTGCCCCTCTTTGTCCTTTTCTCTTAATTTGTGGCAATGTTCAGTGCAGAGGCTGACTCAGGAGGTAAGAAATGAATGACCCTTCACACCCTGCTCAGAAGAAAGATGGATGCATAATATGATGAGACACTGCTGCTGCTACAGCTGTCATAATCTGTCCAGCTGTTGATCTCTTCCATTTATGGAGGAATCTGGTGCTTTACTTACAGCAGTGTTTCTACTTTCCGCTGTCTTTCCCTATCCCATCTAAATAGTTTCTCTTTTCTGTTTTGAGGATATTTTTCTTCAGTCTTTCAGACCACCACAAATTTGATGAGAAAGCAGATTTAATGAGTATGGATAGTAATGGATCCAGGCAACCCTGCACTAGGCCAAAGAGATGAAAGCCGTCCTTCACTGTAGATACAGTTTTCTGAAGAAGACAGCCCACGGCCTTATTCCATCTGAAGTAGGTTCATTCCCTTAAGGAGACAACAATGACCTCCCTTGAGTGAAACAAATGCAGTACATTCATCAGAGGCAGGCCAGGTTCTTTGGGTAGGTGTGATATCTTTTATTAGACCAACTAAATAATTGGAAAAAATGTTATTTGCAAGCTTTTGAGCACAAACACCCTTCCTCAGGTGATGGGAGACTCTGTTGCTGTTCTGAGTTCTCCAGAATTCCTGTTTCCCAATGCCAGACAAAGGGCATTTGTGCCTGAAAGCTTGCGAAGAACTTTTTTCCAACTATTTAGTTGGTCTAATAAAAGATATCACATCTACCCAAAGAATCATGCCTGCCTATGTCCTTATACCAACATAACTACAACCAACAACCCTGCTACATTTATCATTATACTTTTGTGATTCAAATCGGATATAAACCTGGGGTTTATATAGGACTGGTTCAGAGCTGCTGGAACATGCTGCCCCCAGTACCTGCTTATGGAAGGCAATCAAGATACCTAATTCTTCTGTAGAGTTGCTGAAATTCCTCAGAGGTGTAACCAATGGCCCAGGCTTCTAGAAATGCTGAAAATTTCGAGGAGGAGGGAGTTCATAGTTTGATTTAAAAAAACAAACAAACCCTGTGCATTAGTTTAGTACTTGTTTATACAAATACTAAATAAATGAGCAGTACCACTGAGTGATAGCATCTCATGTAGACATGCCCATTTTGAAGCTGATTTATATGGAAGTGGCTCAGATATCTCATGATACTTTTCCCATACAGTCTCTTCTTATGGTAATTCTAATGCAATTGCAGAGGAGGTACACCTAATATATACCTGAAGTTAGACAAAGTTTGTTGCCCCTTGCTTTGAGACTTGACAGAGAAGAGATGACCTGAAATTGCTCCCAGAATCTACAACGGGTTCAGGAAAAGGTGGTCACCAAAGAGATGAGTAGTCTCATGGTTCATGTAAACATTTCTTTCACTTCAGATTTAAATTTTTCAAAAGCAAATTTTGTTCTCAAGGTGCTTATATAGCAAACATTACAGTTAAATCTTAACTATGAAAAGCATATTTAAAAACAACTAACAAAGAAAACTCAGTGACTTAACAGTGAAATGGAAAGTTTGAAAGTCATTGACTAATATTCCAGTAAAGAAGAAAGCTCTAATGCATCAAAAGAAAAGCATTTACAAATGTCTGCAAACATTCAAAATGAATGTGAGTAATTGTCTTCCACTGGGGCTGGAAAGCAGTTATTTTCATTCTAACCTTTGGCTTTATTTGAATAAATATTCAATTTTTTAACAATATAACTCTCCTGTAAAAATCTGAAAAATATTTCTTGTTTTATTTAAACGCCTACAAATAGAAAACTAAGATGCATGTATCAAACTGGCAGAACTTGGATCATTCTTTTTAGTGGATAAAAAGAGAGTCAGGACTTTTAGATATGAACTTCACAGATGACAGTGTGGAAGGGACTGTCCTTCAAGAATCGGGTTTTATAATCATACTTACTGATGTTCACTGAGCAAGCTGATGCCTTACTCAGCAGAATCGATTGTCTCATGAGACAGACAGATGCCTATCTAGATAAGAAGACAGATTCTTAAAATATACATCTACTGGACGAATTCATAGAGGACAGGTCCACTGGAAGCCAGTAAAATAAACTAATTAGGTATATGGCTTCTGACTTCCCTAAATCCATGATATTTTACAAGAGGGAGGATATGAGAGAGGGTGGATCACTTTAGACGCACTTCATTCATATTCTCTTCCTCTAACACATCTACTACTTGCCACTGTCTGGGACATAGCTATCAAGAACAATGAATTAATATCATTTCAGAGTTTGTCAGATTTTCATGATCCTGGTAAAACCACACTTTTCCAGCCTTTCCCTTGATATTGTTAACTACCTCCCATGTGTCTCCAGTGGAAGGCAGCACAGTCATTACCTATCATATCTTTTGCCCTTTTGTAACGTACTTTATAAGGAAGAATTACTAGGCCCTTTGAGTTTTGAACATATATATCAGAGCTATAGGCATATACTGCCCCTCTGGTGAGATACTGGTGGTGCTTCCAGAAAAGTAGAAAATAGTGTCATTAGAGTTGCTTAAAGGTACAAGATCTATACTATCCCATAACAAATGCCCGCTTCTATAGTATCCTTCTAAGGAGTTGTAAAGTCTTCATACTTCTTCTGTGAACAGAGGATCTTGAACTCCCTTGACACACCAGGCCTTCCAGAGTACCCACTGAGACTATAATTCTTTACAGATGAAGAGTTGTGACTATAAAGCACAATCTAATCTTGAAGCCCTATACTTTATAACAGAAAAGCAATGCCTTCCATTGTTTGATTATGCTAAAATTAAATATGATGGCATCTGGAATATCAGTCCTTGAATAATTAAGTAATGTCTATCTTCTTCAAACTTTTATGTCCTGGGAATTAATGCATAGATTTATTTAAATGCTGAGATTCTTTGCCTTTGTACATTTCTGTTCATCACTTGCCTCCTTGTCACATGTTGTGCCTGAATTTTATGCTAAAAATAAAAAAAAAGCATAAATAATAAATATCTTGTATCTGGCCCATGTATTAAGAGTAATATTTATATTTTACTTCCATATGATTCTCTTGACCACAAAAGAGTTGAAAAATAACACCTGAGCTAAAGTTTTCTAAAGCCTAAGAGAACTAAGAGTCTAAATATAATTGACTTTCAGTGTGATTTAGGCATTTTAAAAATATTTACCCAAATCCTATATAAAAAAGGTTCACACTACTGAGAAAGTTGCAGTTCATCATAAGGACAAAATGGTATTGTAAAACAAAACATTGGTAAAAATTTTCCAAGTTAAAAAAAAGGTCTGAGTTCAATCTGATTAGAGATATAGATTAGTTCAAATTGTATCTCAGTTTTTTTTAATGATCCGTGACAGAAACCATATTATATTGATCTTTTATTTTATGGTTTTCTATCTCCACTTCAGTCAACATCTTTGAGTTTTTCCTAGAGCAAACTGTGAGACTTTCTTGTTGGGTAAGACTGATTCTTCCCACAATTAAAAAAAAAAATTAAACAAAAGTCCAATTCTAGTATTTCCAACATGTGTAGAAATTTTTTTCCTACCACCAAGCTCTATGTCATTGCTGCAGAAACTTTAAGATTCTTTAAAAGTACGTTCAAAATTAGGTGAAGGGTAAAATTATGAATTTCCCACTTGGAAGAAAGTGGCTTAAATTCTATCCAATTATTTGCCATGGCAACCAGCTAAACACAAAAGGGCTGGAATGGATGTAGAGTACTGCCTCTATAATCATCACTGTATGTCCTTCAAATCATGGATATGCAGCACCACTATCCCAATCTACTTCAGGGCCATAAGCCTACACGGTAATTATATGCTTTGGAACACTCCACTTAAGTGCATCAATAATATAGTGAGTGAACACGTTCTTTAATTCTGCACCTGTAAATGGAGAAAAAAAAAGAAATATCTCTATCAGAAAACTGAAAAAAAGAAATTAGACAACTATGTTGTTTTTCAATGTGCTCTGTGATACATCATTTTAAAGTCCAGTAGACTGCTAATTCTAAGTTGCCTATTAATAATCAATGCATAAAAACTATGCTTAAGTATTAAAGCACGTAGGTTTCTTCCAGTGTGGAATCCCACTGACTTCAATGACATTTTGCGAAGGAATAGTATTAAAGGTAGGCAGAACAGTTTTCATGATTGGGGCCTTGCACTGACATTATGTCTTTAACTCAGCCAGGTATTGTGGCATATCCCAGATTTCCCTCTCACCTTAATGCATGGATATAATTGCTATTAATGTGTATTATGGAGGAAACGGAGTCAACAGCTCCTGATTTGAGTGTCATCTAGTAAGAAGAGTTCTGGAATGGAGATCAGATGTTTTCCTGGTGTTGGGATGTGTTCCTGAATGTTTCACTGACACGCTGCATAGCTTCAGGATCGAGCCACCTTTGGGCACCTGTTTCCCCTTCTATTCCTTCTCTGTTTTGTCCATTTAGACTGTAAATTCAGCCAAACAGGAAGTCTCTTTTGCTGTGTTTCTTCAATGACTAGCACAATGGGCCCTTCTTCTGGGTGCCTCATGGCACTAATGTAATAATAATAATAATAATAATAATAACAACAATGGTAACAATAGTAATCATCATCATCCTCCAGGCTGTTAATGGGAATCCTGCAGTCTGTGCTAAAACATTCATTCCATTGAACAAATGGGTCTGAGATAGAGGCAAATGGGTTGATTTGTGTGATGACATTACACAAATGCTTTCTTTTACGTTAATGTTTTAATTCATGGTTATAAATTGATTCTAATTCATTAAAATTAATATATTTTAAAATCCCTCTTAATAGGACAGAATTGAAACAAATAAATAAGTTTGAATTGCAGCAATATGGTTTTAGGAAATACTACTA